TTACTGTAGATAAGGATCATAGTGTTTCCACCTGGGGACCTTTCACCTCTTCCTTCTCAACTCACTGACTAGATTATAGCTTGGGAGAGGAAAGGCCCAGGAGTCCTTTTGCCTGTCCAGAAGTCTATATGATCAAAGAATTTTAGAGCTGAGAGGTACCTTTGAACTCACTTCCTCCTCTTCCTCTCCCCTTCATTTTTCAGAAAACTAAATGCAAACTCTGAGAGCTGAAGAGATTTGCCCAAGACGACAGAGCTGGTAACGCCAGGCTGGGATTACAGGCCAAATTTCTAGCCTCCCAGTCAATGGGACACTAACTCTACCTCTTCACACTGCATGCAATCTTAACTCCTAAAAGTAGGCAACAGAGCTAGCCATGCTATCAGGCACATGCCAATTTGTAGAAAAGTTTTGCAAGGTTAGATGTATTTCTTCTGCAATACCTGTGGGAAAGACAGCAAAACTCTAGATAGGATTGACTCTGGGCAATATTGTGAAGTAGGTGAATTGTGAATTCAGTGGCCTCAGACTTGCCTCTTCTGAGAAGCTGTATAACACAGGGGTAGAGAACACGGCTCTGGAGACACCAGCCTGTTTCAGTCCTGACTCTACCGTCTATAAACTGTGACCTTGGGCCGGTTTCTGTTATTTAATTTTTATTATTTTATTGAGGTCATAATAGTTTATAACATTGTGAAATTTCAGTTGTACATTATTATTTGTCAATCACCATATATATGTGCCCTTTTACCCCTTATGCCCAACCCCCAACCCGCTTCCCCTCTGATAACCACTGATCTGTTCTCTTTGTCCATGTGCTTGTTTATCTTCCACATTTGAGGAAATCATACAGTGTTTGTCTTTCTCTGTCTGGCTTATTTCGCCTAACATCATACCCTCAAGGTTCATCTATGTTGTTGCAAATGGGACGATTTTGTCTTTCTTATAGCTGAGTAGTACTCCATTGTGTATATTTACCACATCTCCTTTATCCATTCATCAGTCAATGGGCATTTGGATTGCTTCCACTCTTGACTATTGTGAATAAAGCTGCAATGAACATAGGGGTGCATAAGTCTCTTTGAATTATTGATTTCAAGTTCTTTGGATAAATACCCAGTAGTGGGATAGCTGGATCATATGGTATTTCTATCTTTAATTTTTTGAGAAATCTCCATAGTGGCTGCACCGGTTTGCATTCCCACCAGCAGTGTATGAGGGTTCCCTTTTCTCCACATCCTCTCCAACATTTGTTGTTTATTGTCTTGGTAATTATAGCCTTTCTGACAGGTGTAAGGTGATATCTCATGGTAGTTTTGATTTGCATTTCCCTGATGATTAGGGTTGTTGAAATCTTTTCACATGCTTGTCGGTTGGGCCAGTTTCTTAACTGTCCCTTGCTTAGTTTCCTCACATGTAAATGGAGACGGTAGGGTAGTATTTCTCAAATCATGCTTTGTGGGAGGATTAAACAAGCTGGCATGTGTAAAATATCTACAGTTGTTCTTGGCTTTAGATAACCTAGTAAATGTTAGGAATTTTTATTATTCCCTGACATTGCATGGAACACCCTACCTTCTTCCGGGCTTGCTTGTCCCTGACATTGTCTCCTGCTCACAAAATGTCTCTCTTCTTTCTCCTCTCCTCTATTAAAACTCTCTCTCTTTATTTGTTCAATAAATGGCTGTTCATTCATTTAGATAATATTTATTTAAGGCATCCTTCTAGGTACCAGAAACTATTCTAGGAGCTGGGGATACAGCAGTGAACTAAACAGACAAAATTTATGCTCTCGTGGAATATACACTCTAGAAAAAGGAACAGAAAAAAAAAATACATAAATATACTCTTTGATATCTATAACAATAAATAGTGGGTAGAAAAATAATGATGAATAATGGGATAGAGCAGGGAATATGTGGTATTTGAGGTTAGGAAGCCAGGGAAAGCCTCTTGGAGTAAGGGGCATTTTGGGGCAGAAACCATAATGAAGGGAGGGAACAGACCATGCATATATTTGGGGGAAAAGTATTCCAAGCAGGGGAAAGGGTGGGCACAAAGGCCCTGCAGCAGAGTAGCAAGGAAGCCAGCATGACAGGAACATAGTTAATGAGTGAAATTAAGCAGAAATGAGGTCAGAGAGAAGCCAGAATCTGTAAGGCATTAGAGACCAAGATAAGATATTTGGAAGTTATTCTCATTGTTGAGAAGACCTGAGGGGAGAGCAGAGGAACATCAAAAATGGATCGTGATGGGAAGGGGTCGCTCACCTTGCAGGCTCACAGAGAATAACCTGCAAGGGGCAAGAGTAGTAACAAGGGGATGAGTGGAAGCTTGTGAAAATCCTCCAGGTGGAGCTGGAGGAGAATCGGGTCTCACTTGGGGGGTGTTTGTGATGCCTAGTGAGCATCCAATGAAGATTCGCCGTAGGTACTTAGATCCAGTCATCTGTTGTTCCAGGCAGAAGTCAAGGCAAGAGACAGAAATTCGGGAGTCATCAGTGTGTACATGGAATTTAAAGCCATGAGAATGAGATCGCCCAGGGAGTGAGATGGATGGAGAAGAGAGGAGGCTGGAGGTCAGAGCCCTGGGATCTTGCAGAATTTAGAAACTGGGAAAAGGAAGAGGATCAGGCCCATCATGATGATGGAAGAACAAGAGGAGGAAACACTCAAGGATTTTTCAGGCCTAGATTTGGAAGTGGAACATTGTCACCGTTGTCGATACGCCATTGGCCAAAGCAAGTCACCTGGAGTGGTAGATTCAAGATGACCATAAATTATTTTCAGCTCCTTCTATCAAGAGGTGGAGTTTATTTCCCATACATATCCTCTACCACTTAAACATGGGCTCATGACTTGCTTTGATCAAGACAAGGTGGTAGAAGTGAAGTTTTGTGACTCATGAACCCTAGTCTCAAATGGCCTTGCAGTTCTGCCCTCACCCTCTTGCGATGCTGCAGCCACCACATGACCACGAAGAGGCCCAGCTGGGCTTAACCTGTTTGAGGCTGAAAGCCCACATGGAGAGAGGCCCAGCCATCCCAACTGCCCTAGCTCAGCCCCTAAGCTGCCCCTCTAGCTGAATGTAACTTCATGAGCAAGCCCAGGTCAGAGCAGCGAGAGCGCCCCTATCCAGCCCCACAGAACTGTTATATAGTTGTTTTAAGCCACTAAGTTTGGGGACGGTTTTGTATGCAACAATAGATAAATAATACATGTGTCTAAGCCCCACTCAAGGGACAGGGAAGACTACTGTGCTGATATCAGACAAGTGTGTGCAAGCAGGGAGGGGTGAAGAATTGAGACCAACAATTCAATCCACGATAGTGTATCATGTCTGAATTTTAATTACTTTAATTATAGATTAATCTTGAGCTGTGAGTGGCTTCTGACATTTTAAATCTGCTTTCTCGTTCCCCAACCCATTCCATCTTTATAACAGCTTATCTGCAATGCTTCCTTTCCTGTACTCACATGCTATTGCCCTCTCAAGAGGTGGAGTCTGCTTCTGTATGGTCTTGAATCTGGCTGGCCTGACTGCTTCGACCAATAAAATACATGGCAGCAACTTTGTCTCATATCCTAGCCTTTTGGAGGATTGGCTGCTTGCATGCCCTGCCTCTTGGAAGCCTGCTGCTGTGGAAGAGGAAGGGCTGCCCTGAGGCTACTCTCTGTGGGAATATTTTTGACACTTATTGCAGACAAATGATCACCTACACCTATGTTTTGTGAAGTTCTATTTTGCATTTTCAACTTGTTAAGATGGTAGACACCATCTTTTGTTTATTCCTTCATCGGGTGATGGACATTTGGGTTGTTTCTACTTTTTGGCTATTATGAATAATGTTGCTATGAACATTCATGTACAAGTTTTTGTGTAGACCTGTGTTTTCATTATTTTGCGTATATACCCACGAGCAGAATTGCTAGGCCGTGTGGTAGCTACTATACAACTTTGAATGCCTTTTCCTAAAAGAATACATTTTTTAAAAATCTGAATCTGTGACACATAATTTAGAGGGCCAGACTTCCTTGGGAAATGCAAGTCATCTCTTCCAAATACAGCTTGTTGGAGGAATTACAAACATAGCATTTCATGGCTGAAAAGCTCAAGCCTATCATATAAAACAGAAAGGAAGCCGGGTATAGAAAATGTGTTGTGATAATGGAAATGATGTCATATACCTATTCCTGGCTCCCACTTTGACCTCGTCTTCCACTCTCCCCAGGGCACCTCTGCTCCACCACCCTGGCCTCCACCAGAGACAGCTCGAGGGACCACTCTCTCACTCCATCAGGTCTCCAAACACGCAGCAATGTGTGAGAGGAGTCTTCCCTGATCACTTGCCTAAAATAGCTCTCCCGCACCATCCAACCCTCAGCCACCCTGTCTTCAGAGCACTTATCAGTACCTCAGATGTTAACTCATTCATTCGTTTATTTCTGTCTGTCATACCCCAGACTAACAGGTACATGGGAGGTGGATCTTTGTTTAAGTTGTAATATCTCCAGCACCTGGTGCAGAGGCCAATTGCTCAATATGTATTTGTTAAATGAATGAGTGAAAGAACGAACAAAGAATCCTCTGTTTCCTTGCAAAGCCTTTGCTGCATTGAGGACTGTCCTGTGGGAAATTGCGCCAAGCAAAACCATGTGAAGCAGGCCACCATCAGGAAATTCCAAAGGACAATAGTGACTCCATCTCTGAGTCATGGAAGCAGAAGAGAAAATCAAACTTAATTAACCTAAATACTTCTGTTCTCACTTCATGGAATGGTTCCTGTTGTTTTCCTCTTCTGCTATTTTGGCCTTTTCTTTTCTTTTTGGTGAGGAAGATTCACTCTGAGCTAACATCTGTTCCCACTCTTCCTCTTTTTGTTGCCTGAGGAAGATTGTCACTGAGCTAACATCTGTGTCAATCTTCCTCTATTTTGTATGTGGGACACCGCCACAGCATGGCTTGCAAGTGGTGTAGGTCTGAGCCCGGGATCCAAACCCACAAACCTAGGCCACCAAAGTGGAGTGCACTGGATTTAACCACTATGCCATGGGGCTGGCCCCTATTTTGGCCTGTTATACCCTTCAATGTTGGCTGTTCTTTACTTCACACATTGTGTGGCACATAATAGTAGGCTGATGAAAAGTCTCAGATCCACTGCATCCTTAATGGTTAGTGCAGAAAGAGCTCAGCTTGAGTACCATTAGGTGAGTGCTTTTAAAAATTTCAAATCCCCATGGCAAGTTTCTACTGGTTTTTACCCTTTGGATTTTCTTCATTTTACCACTGGTCCCCTTGTTCTATTTTTAATGTCTTTCCTTTCATCTCTCTTCATTTCTTTCACATTTTCCCCCACTTTTTCCATCTTCTGCCCCTATTTCAACTCAAGGACTGATGTAGACAGCAATAGCAGGACATGTCAGTCCCTTTGTGTCACTTTCTATTTTCTGCTGGATCTTGTAGTTACTTTCTTACCTCAATTCAGTTATGTTGAGCAAATGTTTATGGAGCAGCTGCTGTGCTGGACATTTGCTAGGCCCTAGAGACAACAAAATATCAAACAATTCTTGCTTCTAGTATTTCGCAGTTTTAGGAGTCTCGATTCCTCTCACGTATGTTGTGATTGCAAGCTTCTTGAAGTTTCTCTGTGGGCTTAGAATAGCTTGCACATCGGTAGTGTTTATTAGTGTGGGAAATGAATTAAACTGAATTGATAACCAACCTGGAATCTGTTATCTTTCTTCTACTCCTCTTCAATCCTATCTGTGATACAATAAGAAATATATATATGTTTAGTCTTTGTCCCCAGTTCTGAATACAGAGTTCCTAAATCCCTTGGAATTTCCTGACTGTTTAGAGTATCTTTTGTTATAATGAAGTGACTTTTGGTGAGCCCCTTGATGGCTTCAGGATAGGAGCTGGTCACCAGAAAGACCAAGACTTGATTAGAGGTTTGGAAATTTCAGTTCTATTTCCAATCTCCAGGGAGGGGAGAGAGGCTGGAGATTGAGTTAATCACCAATGGCCAATGATCAATCATGGCTGTGTATGAGTTCCTGGAGTTTCTGGATTGGTGAATACAAGGAGGTGCTGGGAGGGTGGCCCATCCCAGGGAGGCGGTGTAAGCCACTTCCCTCCTACCTGGCCTTTTGCGTCTCTTCTATTTGGCTACTCCTGAATTGTATCCTTTATAATTAACCAGCACCAGTAGCAAAACTATTTTTCTGAGTTCTATGAGCCATTCTAGGAAGTTATCAAACCTGGGAGTATGGGTCATGGGAACCTTAATTTGTAGCTGGCTGCTCAGAGGAATAGGTAACAACCCGAGTGGAGGCAGGTTTCCCTCTCTCTGCTGTGTGGGGATACAAGGAAAAGTCAGCTGTACATTAATCTATCATTTGCCTGTTTAGCATTGTATCAGTCAGGATCCCAACAGAAAGCAGGTTACACTCAAGTTAGAATGCTTTTTTTCCCCCAGCTAGACTATCTACAGAGCTGTGAGTAAGGTGTAGAGTAACCATAAGACATACAGCCCTAACCTGGGGTTGGCAGCCACAGGGCAGTTAACATCCCTAAGCCTGAAGGGAGGAAAGGAGGGAGTGCTTATCAGAAGGGAATGAAAGGGCTGCCTTGAAAAGAACCGTGACCTTGGGCCAAAGGACACAGTAACAAGAGAGTTAATACCCATATTCTCTTCTGTTCCATTTCTCCTAGGAGTCTGCCTTGGATGAATCCAACTGAAAACAGAGGGCAAGGGAATCCTTTGGTGTGGTCCATCCAGGTGAGCCTCCTGGGACAGGGGAGGGTAGAGAGTCGATTTAGATGGACAAACAAATATACAGATACACAGCAAGTCACAGAAACCGATATGCAGCAAGAACATTGAAATTAAACTGCGAAGAAAGGAGTAACATAAAATCCCTTCCATTTGTACTCCTTTCGTGTTCATTCTGTCATTAGCTGTAGTAGCTAGCTTCCAAAGTAGCCCCCAATGGTTCTTATCTCTTGATATTCACATTGCAGAAATGATGGAGGGTGGCCTCCAAGGCTGGGTCACCTTGAGGTTCTTGCCTTGGATCACTGGCTCTGGGGGACACCAGCTGCAAGGTCATGAGGACACTCTCACAGGTGTATATGAAGAGCTGAAGCCTCCTACAGCAACTGCTTACCAGCCATGGGAGTGAACCTTCTTAGAAGAGATCCTTCAGCCCCAGTCAAGCCATCATGTGACTGCGACTCTGGCAGACATCATGACTGCAATCTCATGACAGATCTCAAGCAGAACCACCCAGCTAAGCTGCTCCCAAATTCCTGGCCCTTCGAAACTACGTGAACTAATAATTGCTTGTTGTTACTTCAAGCAACTAAGTTTTGGAGTGATTTGCTATGTAGCAATAGATAACCAATCGTGACACGGTTAATTTTGTGTCAACTTGATTAGGCCACAGGATGTCCAGATAGCTGGTGAAACATTCTTTCTGGATGTTTCCAGAAGAGATTAGCATTTGAATTGATGGACTGAGTAAAGCAGCTGCCCTCCCTAACGTGGGTGGTCCGAATAGAACAAAAAGGTGAGGACGTTAAACTACCTATGTTTGAGTACTTGAGCTGGGGCATCAATCCTCTCCCGACCTCAGCTCTCCTGGTTCGCAGGCTTTCAGACCTGGACTGGAATCTACACCATCGGCTCTCTGGCTCTCAGGCCTTTGATCTACATCCTGGCTTTGCTGGGTCTCCAGCTTGCAGATGACAGATGGTGGGACTTCTCAGCCTCCACAATCACATGAGATAATACCTTATAAGAAATCTCTAGATATATCTACATAATCTTTATATATATATATATATATATATATATATATATATATATATATATATATATATATGGCGAGAGGGAGTAATGCATAAAGGTAGTTAGGGTTAACTGATTATGCTAGTCAGGGTTCACTCTGACTAATACACTCATATATCAGCATAATCAGTTAACCCTAACCTCTATGCTTTACTCATTATGCCTCCCTTGAAATCTTATAGTTAAAAGCTGTTTATGTTCTGCCCATTAATAACTAGAATATGTGCCAATATTGCAAGCTTTCCTACAGCATATATGTACATTATGGAATTTTAAAAATCTGAATATTTTCTCGATAACTGGAAAATCCCAAAATACATGGAGGTTAAACAACATACTTCTAAATAACACATGAACCAAACGAGTAAGTGAAGGTAAACTATGAACACGAAAGGAGTACAAATGGAAGGGATTTTATGTTACTCCTTTCTTCGCAGTTTAATTTCAATGTTCTTGCTGCATATCGGTTTCTGTGACTTGCTGTGTATCTGTATATTTGTTTGTCCATCTAAATCGACTCTCTACCCTCCCCTGTCCCAGGAGGCTCACCTGGATGGACCACACCAAAGGATTCCCTTGCCCTCTGTTTTCAGTTGGATTCATCCAAGGCAGACTCCTAGGAGAAATGGAACAGAAGAGAATATGGGTATTAACTCTCTTGTTACTGTGTCCTTTGGCCCAAGGTCACGGTTCTTTTCAAGGCAGCCCTTTCATTCCCTTCTGATAAGCACTCCCTCCTTTCCTCCCTTCAGGCTTAGGGATGTTAACTGCCCTGTGGCTGCCAACCCCAGGTTAGGGCTGTATGTCTTATGGTTACTCTACACCTTACTCACAGCTCTGTAGATAGTCTAGCTGGGGGAAAAAAAGCATTCTAACTTGAGTGTAACCTGCTTTCTGTTGGGATCCTGACTGATACAATGCTAAACAGGCAAATGACAGATTAATGTACAGCTCTTACAGCCAAACAGCTCCTAGTAACAGCTACGCTGGTGTTTGGGGACCTTCCACATCCCTGCTGCCACTGAGAATTTTGCTTCCTTTCTTCATCCTTCCTTCTCTGACTCACACCCAACATTCACATGACCTCTCAGCTTGCCTGGTGGCTCAGATTGGTCTTCATTGACCAGCCTGGGAGAGTTTAGAGAAAGAGGATGGTAAGATTCCTGGAGACAGTAGGATGCCCCAGCACTGTGGCTATTTATTTACCACCTTCCACCCTTCCAGTCCAGAACACCAGCCCTGGCTCCTAGAATGAGAGCCTAGGAAAATCAGAAAGTGGATGTTCCCTGTAACTTGGACTCCAGGGTGATTATGAGGTTGGTATTCGTGTGCTGAGATGCTGGGGCAGAAAGACAAGAAAGGGCCTGGCTCTGATGACCGTGGAGCCTCCACAGCAACGCTGCCCATCTCCAGACTTTTCTGATGTACGAGAGAAATGAACTTCTCTCTTGTTTGAGCCACTATCATTTTGGATTTTCTGTTACAGGCGGAAAAACATTCCTGCCTTGGCTGCCAGCCTCTCTTGGTGCCATTGCAGGTTGGAAAGATTTGTGGGCTGACCAGAGAACTAGCTACTATAATTTCTAGCGTTGCTTTAAAGGAAAATTCATTCTGAGTTACAAACAACCAATTAACAAAAGCTTTCTTAAGAACATAGCCATTCATTCATTCACCAACTATTTATCAACAGCCTACTACTTTGAAGCACTATTCTGGGTGCTAGTAACACAGCAGTGAAGAAAATAGAATAAAATACTTCCTATTAATAAATATTATTTAACACTTGGAAATAAAGCAAAAATGTGGATGGCATGTCTTTACAATATCATGGGAGGACATTGTCTATCTGGCCCATCCAAGGGTTATTTAATAATCTAAGAGGAATATACCTTGTTCAAATCACCGTTTACTCTTGTTTAAGGTCCCAATCTTAGTGAAGTTACTTTTTTTTTTTTTTTGAGGAAGATTAGCCCTGAGCTAACATCCACTGCCAGTCCTCCTCTTTTTGCTGAAGAAAATTGGCCCTGAGCTAACATCCATGCCCATCTTCCTTTACTTTATATGTGGGATGCGTGCCACAGCATGGCTTCATAAGTGGTGCATGGGTCAGTGCCCAAGATCCGAACCGGTGAACCCCGGGCCGCCGAAGCAGAAAGTGCAAACTTAACTGCTAGGCCACTGGGCCAGCCAGCCCCTGAAGTTACATGTTTTTTTCCCATAAAGATGCAAGTAATTTTTATGCAATAGAAGAGTGACAAATAAAAATGGCAAGCAATAGGATATATTGGAGAATATGAGGAAGCCATTTGGTGTAAACCTAATTCGGCCTGACCTTGTCTTTCCAAAAGGGCCTGACCGTGGCTGTTGAGCTTGCATTGGATATCTGCTTTAGATATTGTCTATGGCAAGAACAAAGGCCCTTGAGATAAAGGTGCAACTTCCCTCCCCCTCCCAACGTTGGCATTTCCTTAAGGATTAAGCATCTTTCCTTAGGCTGGGAACTGATTTCGCGCTCACCTGTGACCACACAGCTTGAGACAATAGGCTTGCCTCCTGCTACGCCCTCTGAGATAGCAGACCCACTACCTGCTGTGTCCATCAAGCACTGTGCCGATAGGGCAATCTTGTGACTATTGTGGGAGGGACATTTCAATCACATGTGAAACGTCCTGTATGGGGGTATATAACCACTCTGTGCACCCCACTTCTTTGGTGCCCTTTCTTCCTTCGGGAAGAGAGACCCCAGGCCATGGTCCTCAGATTTCAGCTCAGAATAAACTCACCCAAATTTTCATTTATAGATTGGTTATGGATTATTTTCGTCAACAAAAGCTATAAACTCAAAGGTTACAATTAATTGGGTTGAGGAACATTAACCAGTTTTCTATCTAACCTAGCAATCTTATTCTAACATTTCTTTATTAAATCGGAGCCAGTCTTACCATCTTGATGGCTCCCTATTAATTAATTAGTTGAATAAACTCTTTGGCATGTGTTCATTATATATTTGCATGAGAATCATATTTTTAACTTTTTGGAAATTATACTTTGACAATTTCCTCATGGTGTTTATAATCTGGTTACAAACCCTCTTTGCTTTCTTTTTCTGGTTTGGGTTTCAAACTAGTGGACTAAGATAAAATAATGCTTCCTATTCAGTTTTCTCCTTCCCTAGGCTTTTTTGGACAGTAAATGAAGGAGATCAGACTATGCCACTCGAAAACATACCTCTTTCACATAAAAATTATTTTGAGCTTAAAGCAATTAAGAAGCACTGAACACAGAAAACCTCTCTCTACCTGCCCCCTTTTCTGCCTAGAGGCAGGATTTAAATTCTCCTTTTTCTGGAGACAGATTCTTATCAGCCCAGTGATAGCATCAGACAAACCTTACTCCCTTAGTTTCTTCCCACATATTTACCTTCCCACAGTTTGCCACACTTGGAAGCCTAAAACCACTTTCCTTTGTCCAGTGATTTCTCTACAAATTTATTCTTCTTTGTTGAACATACTATATAAGCCAGAGTTCTAAGCCACCACTTTGACTTACTCTTGATTCTAAGTTTTTCCCACATAATGTGCACTGTATGCGTTAATAAACTGTTTTTCTTATTAATCTGTCTTTTTGTTAAAGAACCCCAGCTGAAAACCCAAGATGAGGAGAGGTAAAATTTCGTCCCCCTTACATGAAGAAGCAGAGCACGGGGGCTGGCCCCGTGGCCGAGTGGTTAAGTTCACGCGCTCCGCTTTGGCAGCCCAGGGTTTTGCTGCTTCAGATCCTGGGTGCGGACATGGCACCGCTCATCAGGCCATGTTGAGGTGGCTTCCCACACGCCACAACTAGAAGGACCCACAACTAAAAATATACAACTATGTACTGAGGGGAAAAAAAGAAGATTGGCAACAGTTGCTAGCTCAGGTGCCAATCTTTAAAAAAAAACAACAGCAGCAGATCACTTGTAATGGACTGAATGTTGGTGTTCCCCCTCCTCCACTTTCACTCCCCAAATCATGTATTGAAACGCTAATCACAATGTGATGGTATTTGGAGATGGGGCATTTGGGAGGTAATTAGATCATGAGGGTGGAGCCCTCTTGATGAGATTAGTGCCCTTCTAAGAAGAGGCCAGAGAGCTGGCTCTCCTCCTGCCATGTGAGGATACAGTGAGAAGTGAGCAGTCTAGAACCTAGAAGAGGGCCTTCACCAGAACCCAACCATGCTGGCACCCTGATCTCAGACTTCCAGCCTCCAGAACTGTGAGAAATGAATTTCTGTTGTTGATAAACCACCCAGTCTATGGGAATTCATTATAGCAGCATAAACTGACTAAGACATCACTCTTCCATGGCTCATTTTGACTCTGTTCCTGGAGTGCAGATGACAAATGATTGTTGAAGCCATGATCGTATAGTCTGGTTGCAGGTCGGCATGCAAGCATGTAGACTTTGGTTTTTATAGATCAAGCTGAGGACCAGAAAAAGTGGCTTCAGCAGGTCTTGAGTTCGTGGGCTGCAGAAGAAAAAGCAGGCTTTCCTGGCTCTTAATGTCTTATCATTAAATCACTCCCCCTGTACAGTGACCCTTTAGAGAGGTGGGTGGAGTCAAAGTTCCTAGGAGGGTGAAATGAAAGATTCGGGAACTCCAAGTCCACCTCATCATCCAGCCCAGTGGTGAGGACCTAAGGGGACTTAGCAGCATCTTTGTCCTTTGTGCCAAATGCATCCACATTCACCTTGTTTGGGTTTTTTTCATTCTCTTCTCTTTTGTTCTCTTTTTTACTATTTTGATATTCATTCAAAAATCTTTCCTGAGTGCCTATTCTATATGAAGCACTGTAGCAGGTGTTAGGAATTAAATGGTAAGTCAAAGCATAGTCCTTATCTCTCATGGAGTTTACAGCGATTTTCTCTCCATGAACAACAATAATAACTAAAACATATAGAGTGATTAGTATATGCCAGGCACTCTTCTATGCACTTTATATTTATTAATTAATTTAATCTCCACACAACCATAAAGGTATTATTGTTGCCATTTTGCAGATGAGGAAACTGAGGCACAAAGAGAGTAAGACATTTGCCCAAAGTCTTGGGGCTACAGTGGTGGAGACTGTACGCTATTTGCCTCTCCTTTACTCTCCTTTACTGTATTTAGTTACTTCCCAAGGTAGATGTCGCCTGAGGTGTTATAGTGGTTCATTCATTTATTAATTCATCCACTCATCATACTGTCATTAAACATCTTTGATACACTGCAGATGAGCATGGTTCTGGGCAAACAAAGAGTTAGACGCAATCTCTGTCATTGAGTAGATCATAGTCTATTGAGAAAGAAAGACCATAAACACGTAATTCCAGCACAACCTGTTATGTGCAAAGGCAGGGTTTTTGTACCAAGTAAAATGGAAACAGACAGGAGAAGACTAACTGTCTGGGGTTGCTGTGAACAACCTCACAGAAGTGAACACTTTTTATTTGTGTTTTGAAGGTACATAGCAACTCATTAATTACGGAATAATAGGAAGATCAATCCAGAGAAAGGAAAGAACATCTGGAAAGGCCTGGAGTCATGCCAGCGCAAGGTGCATTCTGGCAAAAGTTGATGCAAGTAGACGGGAAATAGCAGGACTGAAGGATCGGAGGTTGAGTTGGAAACAAAGAGTGACTATTGACTGTACTCAGAGGGGTTTAAGCTGGGATCAATGCATACGGATCTGTATTTTAGAGAATCTCTAGCACCATTTTAAAGGACATCAAGGCTAGGAGATCCTGAAGAAGGAAAGAACAAGTTGGTAGCTCTTGCAGCCATCTAAGCAAGAGTCAATGAGTCACCTAAGGTATTGGAGAGGAGAGGGTGGATTTGAGACACATTCAAGAAGATGAAGTGACAGAACTTGATGACTGCTTAAGACTGGGAGAAAGGAGTGATTGGGTGACTGGGTGGATAATGGTGACAACTGAAAGAGCATCTCAAATTCTACAAGATTACATTTGAGCCAGAGTCTTCTTAGGGTACATTCAAAGCAGCATCAGTTGGACTATGAGGGCCCAGAAAAAAAATAGGTAACTCATGCATAGCTACACAGCTCTTACAACACATTCAGGCATTGTTTAGGTTATGGAAGAGAATTAATTCTGCTAATACAACAACCCACATAAAGTAGGCATGACCATGTTGTCATTTTGCAGATGAAGAAATCAATGAAAAGAGAGGTGCATTGACTTGCCTAGAGCCACACAGCCAGTATATGGAGGACTCAAGTTTCATACCCAGGCTGTCTATCTTAACACTGCTCCATTAGAGGTTTGGAAATAAGGGTAGAGCGCTGTGCTGGAGGCGGAGCTGAACTTTCCTACAAATCCCTTTAGACTCCCTCTCTCTTCCCAGGGTTTACACTCACTCTGGCTGCTAATCTCTCTCACCTTTGCTCCGTGGGGCTATTGCAGCCATGCTGCTGTTCTTGAGAGCTTCCTCCTTCTCCTGCCCGGCAGTTTATGTCCCCTGGGCTCTGAGAATGTGACCCTCCTTCCTAGCGTCCTCCTGGGGAAGTGAAATCCTCTCCAGATCTGCCTATTTTTTCTGGAGAGAATCAAGCCCTGCTTTCAATTCCAGGGGAAGGCAGGAGGAGGAGAAGTCTGGGAATATGAAGGAGCTAAGACATTGGATTTGATTGGGCCTTGTTCTGTCTCAAGGATATTCTAGTGGAGATGAGAAAAGAAACCACAGGGGAGAATGGCAGAGGCTTGAAGTTGTTCTTTCAAGAATACTTATCAAATGTTTGGTTTCAGACACTTCACAGGAATATTCAAATAGCATCTTGCTGGTCATTACTTCTAGTATTTTGGAAAGCAGTCCTTGTACACAGCTAAATATTTTTTCTAAATAACTTTGAAAAGGAAACCAAACCCATTATGCATCAATAGCCAAGGACTTGAGGCCTATTTTTTTTAATATAGGATTTTTTCTAAAGATAGTTTCTGATCCATAGTCTGAAATTCCGTTTAC